ATTGTTTCTTAAACCTCGAATCTTATATTTCATATTTATTATCTCTTTTTATTTCTTTTATTGACCTTTGTAATTTTTTTTAAGTAATCTATACTTTATCTATCCTTACGATAGCAATATGAGATACCAAAGTATTTAATCTTTATTTAATTTTGATAAGTTTGATAAAGGTAGTATATATATGACGACTGAATCAATGTGTCTAGAAACAGTTGTTGACATCGGTTATTTCTTTAATGGAAGTTTTCCGTCACATTTTCCATATAATATCCTAAGAATTAATCTGAGTTTTAATAGTTTTGATATTCATTAATTTGCACTAATTCTAATATACTTTATAAATAACTTGATATGAATTATTTTGATTTGTACGAATACTAAGTATTTTATTAACCCCTTAACGCACAAATTTTTTTTTAAGAAAACCGACCAAGAAAAAAAACATGTCTTGGCAAAAAAATACAAAAAATACAAAATTAATTAAAAGTTTTATTCCAATTTTAGTTTTTGGTTTAATTTTGGATCAATATTGTAGAAAAAAGCTGAATATTATTGTACAATTCTCGATTATATTCAAGTGTGAAAAATTACAGGAGCATAAAATACAACGCCGCTCGAATTATCTCGAGTGTGCACAGTTTGGCCTGTTAATACGCTCGAATTAACTTGAGAGCACAAATTAAGAGGTTAATAATCTCTGATTTTTATTAATTTGTACTAACTCTAACACACTTTCCATATAACGTAATACCAATAAATCGTTTAACCACTTACCCTAGAAAGACGTGCCACGCACGTCGAGATGCTTTTGTTCCAAAACTGCGAGTGACGTGTACACCATGTCGATAGGCGTGGTGAACACGTGGTAAATAGATTTATATTATTTTCATCATATCAATCAATATTGTAGAATGGAAAATAATAGTAAACTCAGTGATATTGTTTCGACAAGTGCAATATTGTAGCGCACGACACCGCAACCGTGAAGTTAAATCGTAGGGCAAGTGGTTAATAGAAGGGTTGTCTAATTATTTGAACAAATACAAGTTTTTTGTCTCTCTCTTGACCCCTTTTTATCCAAGTACTCGTTAATACATATGAGATGTTAATCGCGATGTTCATTTTCGTGATAGTCTCACGATCTTATTCAAGTTGTCCTCGGTGTAACATTCGAGTTGAGAGGAAAGGAATGGAAAGTACAAAAAAGGTACGTTTCGTTAGCTTACGAACAGAGTCTTTACGATTATACATTCACACATGTATATACATATATATGCATGTATAAATACATATATACTTGCCAAATGAGAGAAGCAAAGAGAGTCGAAGTCAAGGGATATATATATATGGGGTGCCTTAAATGGTAATGCCCCCAGCTCTGCCCTCAATCGCGATCTCGACGGATTTCTCCTTATCTCTTTCTCTTTCTCAGTCCCCCTGAACTTCCTAAGTATACTTGCGTTCATGTGTTCTCTTCTCTGATATCTAACAATCGAGTCTGATTCCGATAGAAATATATCTTTAAGATAAATCTTAAATCAACACTTATCAACTTGCGGCCCTGTAGGGTCACATAATTAATACGAAAAAAATTTAAATTCTTCAAATAGTTTTCCTTAAATAATATTGACATTTTTTTTATAGTACTTACTTAAAAGTTACTACAACTTAAATTAACTTAACTTAACTTAAATACTGTAATACTGTAATACTAGTATTTTTTTAAATTCATATGATATTGTAATATTTTTATCTTTAATCAGAAAAATTTATATTTCATTTTATTAATTTATTTTTATTAATCTTACATTATGTATAATATAAACATGTAATATAATTATACACATGTATATAATATAAAATTTTAATTTATATGGCATTTATATGGCATTATATGGTTTGAGAAAATTATTTTGTTTTGTTATTTTTTGTCTTTCCTAATCTGGACCAAGGAAGTAAAAAGATTGGACATCCTATCTTAGATAGAATTTACAATTAAATGATTTCATTGAATGGTATCTTTTCTACAATAGTTGCTTTCAACTAATTAAAACGTAGGTTAGGAAGTGCTTACTTATCTAACGTAACGGTAAATGTTGTGTTACAAGAGCAAAATGGTCAGACGGCCTCTATATGGACGAGAACGACGTACCATGTATGTGGGTGATGACAATTTTTCACGGACGACACAAACCAGATAACGCACAACCAACTTCATCTAATTGTCAATCTTTCTAACTAACTTTTACCAATAATATTTACACAAATGTTTAAAAACATTCCACGTATCTTTTTTGTTATTCTTTTCAAACTTTTAGGTATCTTTACTTTGAAATTTTCAATAGCGTCTTTAGTAAACTGGTGATACATCATTTTAAAAGTTATAGACATCCATATTTCAAAAAAAAAATTGAATTTTTTGAAGGATAGCTGAGATAGAAGATAAGAAATTGAAAATTTTATAAATATTGCTGTGAAATTTTTCAAATATTGCTTTAAATTTTTTTATAAGACATTTTACCACTATTTATTATATACATAAAATAGTTTTTCACTAATATTTTAAAAATCGATATTTAAACATGTAGAGGAGATTTAATTATTTATTATAATTAATATAATAGAATTATATTTAAAATATATAAAAATATATAGAAAATAATAGAAATATATAAATGATAAAAATATAATATAATTATATAAATTATAATTATATAATAATTAAATCTTCTTTATATATAATTATAATTTTAATAATTATTATTTATTATATACATAAAATGGTTTTCCACTAATATTTTATACTATTAAACTTTTATTTAATAGTATAAAATTAAGGTATTTAAACTTGTAAAAGAGATTTTATTTTGTTCAGAAACTTAGGTAGAACTTAGAAGCTTAAATAGAAGATATAAAAACTTAAAATTTGTTAAATAATCTACGAAGTTTCTGAATAAAATACATTACTATTGTACAAAAAAAAATAAAAATATAATTTAGTTTACTAAAGTCCAGTTCTCGGATTACTGTTAACTTGGACGTTGTTCTTTTAAATAAAATACGTTAAAGTATTTTAAAAAAACACAAAAGCGTATTCTTAATTAAAGTGGAACCTGACCTTATTTAAGACTAATTGAGAACATACTAAAATTTTGTTTAAATATATCTCATAATTTCTAATAAATGATTTATTTCTAAAAACAATAACCAAATTGATTGCTCTATAAATACTCGAAATATAAATCCATTAGTCTGGTCACGTTGTAATGTCAAATTATTTTTGGGAGTTACTGTATATTAGTACGTGTCCCGCATACAGTGTTAAGTTTCCTAATAATACCACTGTTCACCAATTGTTTTTTACTAATGTTTTTTTTCTAGATTTCTGCTAATCTGCACGTATTCTGATAGAATAAAGAAATGTAGGACAGTAGAAGAGAAAGAGGAAGAGCATCAGCAGCAGCACAAGAACCAGCAGCAGCAACAACAGTAGCAGTAGCAGGATTAGAAAGAGAATAAGGAGAAGAAGGATGAAGTGGAATAGGAAAGTTGGAAGTGGGGAAGGAGGGGAGGGGGAAGTTCTATACGTATATCTGTGAAGTAAGAGCTCGAACGCAGCGTTCTAAACGCGTGAGACTTTAAGAAGAGGCAATGAACTGAACAGGTATGTGGGTGATGTCCGTTTAGAAAAGAAGACAGAAGACTAGATAGATTTATACGTTAAGGTGGTACTACGTGTTCGAGCACGAATGGTGGCTCTTTCTCGTCTCCTCCCATATTTTTCTTTTCAACTCCGACTCGTTTCTCTTCTTTCTTCTTTTATCCTTGTATATCCCCTTCTATGTATGTATATGTGTATATATATATTTTTTTTTCCTCTTATTTTTTCTCTTTTTTTTTTATATAACTCTTATAACGTTCCGCTTTAACGACAAGAATAGTCGGCGAGCTTCGAGCGCGGTTAATGAAACGTCAAATGGAATCGAATATTTCTCAAGTTACGGTACGCTCATTTTCGTTTTACCTTTCGTTGTCATATTATATAATATAATGCGATCATTTTCAAACTTGTTATCATTAATTTTATATCTTTTCGATTTGTAATTATTTTGAATTGGAAGTAGTAAGTAGGAAGCCTACTTATTTCTAATTATAATAGTAATAGTAATTAAAATAAAGGAATATTTTAATCTAAATATTAAGAAAGAAATACAAAATAAATATTTATAGAATATATTGTAAATAATATTCTATTTTTAGTTATTTTATATTTTAATTTTATTTTGAATTGGAAGTAGTAAGTAGAAAGTCTATTTACTTCCAACTCAAAATAATTATTTTAATAGTAATTAAAATAAATGAATATTTTAATTTAAATATTAAGAAAGAAAGAAAAAATAAATATTTATAGAATAAATTCTAAATAATATTTTATTTTTAGTTATTTTAATTTTTAAGAAAAATAAATATCGAGGGCAAAATACAAAAATAATTTTTATAAAAGTTTCTATTTTTACATCTTTTACCTTAGGTATGCATAAACAAATTCAATTTTGTTTACGTTTTTAGGTATGCAAATTTTTATAACCTGATGTTGTATCACAAAGGAAGGGTACTATTTAAAATTTCAAAGTAAGGCTTGTTAGAAAAACAAAAAAAAAGGTGGGTAAATTTATATATATATATATTGATTTTATAAATATTCTATCAATATTGGCTTTTAACTTCGTTTCAACATCAAACTGGCCGTATTTGTTTTTAGAACTAATATTATTTCATTTTGAACGTTACAATCTACTATCATAATTATCTGTACAATTATGTTTTGTTTAAAAAAAATTAAAATATATTTTATTACCAAAAATTAATATATTTGTACACCTGTCATTTAGCAAAAAGAAATGTTTCTATGTATAACCGGTTGCATATTTTACAGGCATTACTATTTAAGCTTGGGTTTCTTGGTATTTTAGTGTTGTCGTTCGTGGTTCACTAGCGCGTTTGGTGCTTCGCTATCTTCTCCTTCGACATCGTTTAAATTCTTACAACCATCGTTGAACACTTTAAACGACGACGATCAGAAAACGAGTGTTTAAAATGTCAAATTTAAGGATCTTTAGTTCAACGTCATTAACGATGTTCCTGGTTGTCATTCGAAGTAATCACTGCCTTCCTAGCGATCAAAAAAATCTTACGAGTAAGTATCCTGTTTTTTCAAAAATTCTGAAACATTAATCCCAACGATTTATTGATTAATTTCATACAGAAAATTATTATTTAACTAAAGGAATAGTTCAATCGTGCGTATATCTTTAATCGAATCAGAATTGGTTAAACCGCATCAAAATTGAATGCAAGCAAGTGCCCAATAATTTATGCATTATATTCAATTGCGCAACATTGACGCAACGATGTTGTTTTATAAAAGGGTAAAAAAGCCTTGGCATAGAGAGAATCTTTCAAATACGACTTTTAAATTTATCCAAATCAAGCAAAAACATAAAATAAAGAATTGGAAATCGATTGAATGCAGGCATCACAAATTTGTTGGAAGTGTAAATGTTTCAACACTGTTTTGAAAGAACATGTTTTCCCGATAAAAGAAAATTTGAAGAATCTAAACATTGAAGGGTCATTCTGAAGTGTTTTGTTATGTTAAAGAATTCTTTTACGATACTGTATTGTAATTTAATCATGAATAATGTTATTATTCAGTTACTTTTGAAGTTGATCGTAATGTTTGTTTAGATCAATTGTTTATCTAAATAGTACAGAAAATTAACGTAACATAATTCGTTTATTATTAATCAAATTTCAAAATTATTTATATCAATTGTAATAATTATTTCTAAAAAATAATATTATTCATTTTAATTTTTTTTTCAAATTTTCTTTTAACTCAAGTACACTTTCTATCTTTTAAATTCGTGTTTAGTACAAATTTATAGAAAATATGTAAGCAAATCTTAATCTCAATTTTAAATATTTTTTGTATTAATTTAATACTAATGCAACATATTATTTTAAGATCCAGATGAAGAACTGATAAACACATTTATATCTACAAATTTAAGAAGAAAATATGTAAACGATCAAGATTATCCTGAAAAGAAGGTTAAACTTTATTTATACGATATCACGAATAATGTAATTAATACAGAATGTACAGTAAAGAAGAAAATTTTTTTTGCTTATTTCAGATTTACAAAATCTCTCAAGCTTGTTTGACATTAACTAAAAAAGAGGGCCAATGTAAACAAATCAACGAATGCGTACACGACAACATCTACTTCAATTTGAATCAATTTTTAAATTATACTTGTATTCTTAATAGCACGTAAGTTTTGTTTCTCAAAATTTAGTGTTTAACTGTAACTTTACCATTGAACAAGATATTTTTCGTAGGAAACTTGGAATTTGTTGTCCGAATAAATCACTAAGTTCATCTAGTTTGTCACTCGTGGATAGTTTGCTTGGCCCATTACCCGCAGTAGCAAGTTTCTATACCGAAAAGGGAAATAATCCAGGTAGAAATACAAAATGTGAAAAGTTTCAAAGTATATTATAGTCTATTTTTTTGGTTTAATTTTTCATTTGCTTTCTTTGGAGAAAAAAAGAAAGAAAGTTTGACATATTAAATGATAATATTGTGATCAAAAAATATGATAATTTATTAAAAGGATTCTATTTATTGGGTCAGTATATATACTACAAAATCAATATGAAATAAAAGTGTTCTGTATTAAACAATGTTCAGAATAAGTTTAAAACAATTAATACTAATTTATAAAGAAGTGTCAGTATTTATAATCACATATTATCATTATACTATTATCCAATAATATTATTTATATATTGGATTGGCAAGAGAGTAATTTCGGTATTAAGTAAATATATATATAATATTATTAGGTTGGCAAGAAAGTAATATTTCACATTAGAAAACCGAAATTACCTTCTTGCCAACTCAATATATAATTTCTATTACAGTTATTTACAAATTTAACTAGAATTTAAGTTTTTTATTTAAAGTTACTGAAGACAGAAGAAAAGGTAGAGGACATAGAGGATGTGGAACGAACATTAAAAGTGGTACTAGAATCGTAGGTGGACGACCGGCTGATCCCCGAGAATGGCCTTGGATGGCAGCATTACTTAGAAAAGACGCGATTCAGTATTGCGGAGGTGTTCTCATCACGGACAGACACGTACTCACAGCTGCCCATTGCGTTCGAAAGTAAGTCGTGAATGTCATGAAGAAGAAAAACCTTACTACAAGTCCAGTCAGTTACTGTTACTCTACTAGGTGAGATTTATGACGATACTCTTCTCCTTTATCAGTTTCAAACCACGAGACATCCGTGTTAGATTGGGTGAATATGATTTTACCAGAACCGATGAAACCAGAGAGTTGGATTTTGCAGTTGCGGAAATTAGAGTACATCAGGATTTTGATTCAACTACTTATGAAAATGATATTGCTATTATCAAGATATATCGACCTACGCCATTCAACAGTTACATTTGGCCAATTTGTTTACCACCAATCGATCAAACCTTTGAAAACAAGACTGCTTTTGTTACTGGTTAGCATAATTCTCGTATAATTTAACAATTAAATCTGAAATACGTCTATGTTTTAACTCCATTTTGCACTCAAAATGTAAAAGCATCGTTTAAATGAGCATTTACTATAAAATGTTTTTTTTATAAATTAATGTACACATGTATGATTAATAAAATTCCATTTCATATTCAACTAAAGAATTTGAAATAACATAGGAATGATTACGTTGACGGTTTTGAATGTGTTAAACAGGCTGGGGATCGCAGTATTATAGTGGACCAGCTAGTACCGTTCTGATGGAGGTTGCAGTACCGATATGGCCGCAAGAAATGTGCACTAGGAGCTTTACTCAACGTGTCACGAGGGCTACCATGTGCGCAGGCGCTTATGAAGGAGGTCGTGACGCTTGTCAGGTAAGGATAAAAAGACTTACATAATCGAAAGTACAAGAAATCGAACGGGTCAGACGTAACTCAGACACTAACGTCAATTTATTCTTTAAACTAAACTTTGAACTTTACAATTTTGAGATTTAAATATACATAGATATCAAAAGTTTGTTAGTTGTTTGATTTACGTTATATATTTTTCTTTTTATTTTATTCCCCTTTCTTTTTATTAGGGAGATTCCGGTGGTCCTTTGGTTCATCAACTAGGTAACGGCAGATGGGTGAACATTGGAATAGTTTCCAGGGGTATACGTTGTGGTGAGCCTAACAATCCTGGAATTTATACTCGGGTAAACTTTTATCTCGATTGGATATTCGCGAATGCAGTATTTTAATAAAATCTTCCTTAAAATTGTATGCAGGGATAATAAACGATTAATTTATTGTCCTATGTGCATCAGATCAATGATAATTATTTTTAAATGTGTCTGTTAGCAATGAACAATTTCAATGTTTTCATATAAGTAGAACCTCCATTATTCGAATTAATAGGAAGACATAACTTAATATAATAATATAAAAAAATATGAAAAATATAATATTATAAAAAGAAATATCAGGTCTCGAATATTTATTTTACAGTAGATAACATAAACAAGAAAGTGTACACATAATGTACGGGATAATAGAATATTTGAATACTAGATCGTCATGTATTGTAAGTAGATTCTTCAAACATGGAGTCCTCTGGTAATTCTTGAATCTTTCCAACCAAAGATTGAAAATGTTGCTCATCTCTCGCTCGCTCGCCGATCTCGTTAGATACAAATATGAATACTTCTCACCTTGTATGTGGTGATATAAAGGATAGTGGTACTTCATTTTCTTTATTAGTCCTTTATCTTCTCCTTACCAGCCTTTCGTTGGTTCTTGGTTGCTTAAGATATCCCGTCGTAGCCATCCAGTGGAAGAATAGGATGATTGTCTTTGCTAATGGGCCCAGCAGGGCGTACGTAGTGGGGGTACAAGTGGTGGGAGGTGTGAATATTAGCGCTTCGGAATTCCCTACAGGATTAAAGCGCAAACTTCTACAGGATTAAGACGCAAACTTTGAATACTGGTTAATAGTTTATGATAGTTTTCGATCATACACGTCGAACATTGAAGATTCCATTATATTTTGTTTAAACGAAATACTCCTGAAAACAATTGAAATTTTATTTTTGGAATATATCGATCATTACATCATTCAAATAAATTGAACATAAATATAATTTTTATTTCTTACGACCAATATATACCCAATATACACAATAAGCACGCTTTCTCACTTCCTCTTGTCAAGTTTCTCATTAAGCCAGGAAACGATTGACTTCTCAAACGCGCGTCATTTACTGACAGACAACACGCTCTTCCATCACATAAAATATTACTTACTTACATATATACTAATTCTCGTACACATCTTATACATATATATGTCTTATTTACTTCCTTTCTTTCATATGTATACTTCTACATACCACAAGCACACACACACACACACACACACACAATCTTTCTCTCTCTCTCTCTCTCTCTCTTGAGTGTTATTTTTGTTCTAACATAATTGTGAAAGGCCCAGCCTCTCCTTACTAGAAATTGCTTGCTGAACATCAATTCTCCTAATGCCGTCTAATTTTCTTCAGAGACAGACACGTATAATCTATTTATTTCGTAAATACATACATACACACACATATAATATATATGTTTTTATTTGTTTGTGCTTTAGCCCGTGTATACATATATAGATATTTATTTATGTACTTATTTATTCATCTTTCTCTATTTTGTTGAGCATATCTGGCAAGTAGGTAATATAGGATTATTCAAAAAGAATAGTAGAAAAATAAAGCTGAATTATTTGTTTGTAAAGTGACATATACGATGCATAATGGTATACAGTGACTGACGAACATCGTAAACTTGTGTTCCTAAATTGTGTGTGTGTATGTGTGTGTCTGTATTCACGTACTTGAGTATTTTATGCAAAGAACAAACGCAAAGTGTATGGATCTTTCTTGTTTGTCAAATCAACGATTATTGGCTTCACCTACCTGGACATGTTAACACAGTGGCTTATGCCTAAACTAGAGAAAGATTATTCTAATCTTATCCTTCAACAGTACGGTGCTCCTTCACATTTCCAAAGTACCGTTCGTAAACATTTGTGTACTAACCACACAGTGTGCTAGATCAGTCATATAAGGGAAGATTTGAAAAACCGTATCTTTAATGCTATGGAGCAAATAACTAAGGATATGTTGAAACGTGTCTGACTTGTATAAGGGTTTCATCAAGAACGTGTTTAGGAAGAAATGGATCTATTTCTACTCATCTACACAGGCAGAAGTATAAATTATGGACATAAAACTTATGCATGCATTTATCAAATCATTGTAGTTTGGGTATATCAATTGAATAAATAATAATTCAGCTTTAATTTGGTATTATCAGTTTTGAATAACCCTGTATTTTTTACTTTTTCATTAATATTACATATTTGATATATTTTTTTTTTTTCAAATAAATTCATTAGAGTCATTGAACAGGTATTTTCATCTTGTACATCGTTAACGACAAAGTTCACCCTTCCATTAAAGTTACTCACTTAAACCTCGTTACTTTATTTTAATGGAAAAATGATATCTCCATGAAAACTTTGAGGAAAACAGATCGAAGTTATAATTTGGTCCTATTTCTCTCTCACATATGCACGCACATACACACACTCGCAATGATATACTATTATTTGGCATGAAACTAAATACAAAAGAAAGAAGAAGAATTATTTACGATAATAATACGACTTGTGAGTATAGTCGTTAAATCTTGTATTTGCAAGTTTAAAATATATAGTTTAGAAAGACGAGAAAGTAATTTTATAATGTAAGAATATTTTGATGAAAAAAGAAAATGAAACTAACGAATGCTTGGTTTCGTCGTTAAAAGAAAGATGAGCAATTAGCTGCTTAGAAAATTACGAGCAAACGATTGCCCATTTCATCGTAGACTTTCTCGTTAACAGCACCTTGTCTAATACTGGTCGATTCGGGCAAGTCGGCATTAAATACTGAATCATTTACCCGATGTAAATATATATATAATATATTATATTATGTGTTCATTCCGTACTTAATATTTATTTTTATTTTTTTTTAAATTTTTTTTTTAATACAGACCCATTAAACATGTAATCTTGGGAATCCGTCAAAGAAGTACGTAGCATACAGCTTTGGAAAAAAGTAGCTATTTAATTTAAATATCGTCAGATGCATAAAATCAACACTGACTATTATTGGTTCTGTAATAACATCTAGAAAGAGATCACTTTGTCTTATTACATATGTATACATTGTATTATAAACGACTTACCATCGATTTAAATGTTCGCTGGTACCCAACTACTTTGCTAAAAATATCACACCATCTGTGTGTGTGTACATTTATAGAAAAGCAAGAAAATGCAGAAAAATCATTCCAATTTTAGGAATTTCTTTTTTTTCCATTTGTTCATGTTGTTGTTGTTGTTGAATAATTAGTCTTTTCGAGTAGCATGTACAGATGGCAGGATATTTGGTTGGGTAGAAATATCATCATACTCGATGTTCCTATCCGAATTATCAAACTCAGGATAAGAGACACATGAAGAGAGCTAAATCCGAGGCATCGAATCTGCGGGTAAAAGAAGGGGCGTATTTGGACCACTCTCGGTATGATTCGGCATACTTTCCGCCGAGTAAGTATACGCTTGTCGATTTTGTTGAACTGGGACTGCACGTACGTGAGTTGGAGAGACAACATTGCTTGATGGCATACGACTGGCTGGTGCACCATTTCCTGTTACCGTGATGTTACATGTACTGCTACCAAAATGTATTCGATTTTGATTAGTTTGAAACGATGCTTGCAATTGTTGTTGTTGTTGTTGTTGTTGTTGTTGTTGTTGCTGTTGTTGTTGTTGCTGCTGTTGTTGTTGTTGTTGTTGTTGTGAGAGTTTCTGCTGTGGTGGCGGTGGTTTTTGTTGCGGTGATTTCTGTTGTTGTGGTTTCTGTTGTTGCTGTTGCTGTTGCGGTTGTTGTTGTGATGCTGGTGGGTTTTGTTGTTGTTTATTTTGAGACTGATTTTTGATTGAAATATCTTGAACTGGAATATGACGTGTTTGAGATGATTCCACCTGAGGCTGATTTTTGGATTGAACTGAATGAGTTTGATTCTTTGTTTCCGTTTCCGTTTGATTTGACTTATTTTGCATTGGTTGTATTTGCTGTTGCTGTAACTGCTGCGTCACTGGTTCGTTGGAAATTGGTGGAAGTTGACTGGTAGATTTGGTTGTGCAAATTTGCTTAACGTTATTGTTTATCGGTTTTTCACCCATCAACCAATACGTCGTCATTGTACCTTTACCCTGTGGTTCATGAAAAAAAAAAAAAGAAAAAAAAATTAGCACAACGAACAGATATTTGCTATTCACGTATGCAGAAACGAAGGAAAATTTGATTTCAGGATGCCGTGTAAGCTCAATGAAATAATTATTTCGTAAAATGATTTTATTGGTGAAATTTTCATTAATCTTGAACAAACAAATTTGAAAATACGAACGTTCCTTTGGTTAAACGTTTGCATGATAATGTACTAACGGTCGATCGATAAACTCTGACCTGGATTTAAAGCAGGCCTAGTAGCATGCCTGCTACAAATTATTTTATTTCATAATACTTTGATTCAAAAGATAAATCTTACCTTTAACGTAACCTCTCCTCTGCAAACAAGATCGAATGTCCCGAAAGTATCCAGAATTTCTTTTGTCTTTGGACTCACGTGTATCATCCATGCTGTTTTCAACAAAAATTATTCAATCAAATAAAAATAATGAGTTTAAACCTAATCGAAAATTGCAATCCTCGATGAAACATTTGATTGTCAAACGTATATGCTTTTGTTGGCTTAATAACAATTACCTTCTCCGTTACTTTCCATTCTGGATGCAGTGTTGACAGTATCACCGAACAAACAATACCTCGGCATTTTCAAACCAACCACACCCGCTACGCAAGGTCCTGAAACGAACCAAACGAAATTGCTTATTTATTTTTATGTCGTCCTTTTATCTGAATAATTATAATTTCATCGATTATATAATATGATTTGCTTAATTATCATCTCATAATTTTTAATACATTTTTAATAGAAAAATTAGAACAAAATATCTATTTAATATAAATTAAATTGTTAACCTGCAATTATTATAGATACTATAATAAAAAAATAATAAATAAAATATACCTCTTTCTAAAATAAAAATAAAAAAAAAATGATTGTAAAAATAATCTATTAAATTAATCTCACTGATAATACGATTTCAAATTTTTCTAGAATAGTTGAATTAAATTTTTAATCGCTCTACGTAATAGAAAAATTATTTTTGTTCGGATTATCCGATATCGATTTGACTTTTTTTTTTCATTTAATCGAAGTTTTACCATATAACAAGACACCTGTTTCACTCGTTCACTTCTATCGAGGTAGAAAAATCGATATCCATTACTCAATAGACACATTTTATAGAAAGATTGAACACTGAAAAACGTCTTTGATTTATGCAAAAACTTTCACGAATCATTCTTTTTTTTTCAAACTTTTTTACGAACTCGACGATCTTGAGGTAATTTAAAAAGCAATTAATTCACTGTGCATATCGAATCGAAAAGAGACGTGCAACATATCTCTCCTAAATTCGTCAAAAGTATTTTCTCGTTAAAATTCATCCTTGAACAAGCTCTGTCTTTCTCTTTCTCTTTCTAAATTTTGATCTCTCTTGTTCATACACATACTCACCTATGAATATACACACAAACAAAAAATATAACTAATCACATATACACGATATACATATAACAATTGTGAATACACAGATATACCAAAAAAAAAACAAAAAATACGAACAACTGTACGCACTCATACATATAAGAACACATACGAATATCAGTGCACACACATCGAACACGAATTTCCACATGCAGAAATATCAATAACTACCTGCATGCACATATATTCAACACTCGTATATATTATATTGAATACATATAGAACCATAGAAAACGAATATCAATTCACACACATGTAACATACATAGAGCCACAAAATATAACCACCTGAGCATACATTCAAACACATACATACTTTCTAATAACAATACTTGCTCGTCTTTATTTACTTCATTTTATCATGGAATTTAGGATGACAGTTTTAATCATCATTTTCAAAAAATAAAAAGACTAAAAGAGAGAAAAAAAAGTGATATCACATACAAAAAGTAAAATAAAAATGAAAATATAAAAAAAAACACTTACCAGAATGCATTCCTATACGAAGTTTCAACTTCTCTTCTGGTCTATGACGGATTCGAAATGTCATAACGGTGTCCCTCAATGCCAAACTCATCCTAGCTATTTCCTTTGCATGATTCGTGCCATTTCTCACCGGCAATCCGGAAACGACCATGTAAGCGTCTCCAATTGTCTCAACCTTTTGTTAAACAGACAGTAAAGAAGACATTTCTAAGATATTAGATACTCAATTTTCTTGAAAGGGGATCATTATGATTAACCACTTGCCCTACAAAGACGTACCATGCACGTCGAGATGATTTTGTTTCAAAACTGCGAGCAACGTGTACATCACGCCAATAGGCTTGGTGGACAAGTGGTAAATAGATTTATATTATTTTCATCATATCAATCAATATTATAGAATGGAAAATAATAGTAAACTCAGTGAAATTGTTTCGACAAGTGCAATATTGTAGAACACGGCACCGCAACTGAGAAGTTAAATCGTAGGGCAAGTGGTTAAACATTTGAGAACAAGTTTCTAACAGGTTTTTTATTAATTTGTTCAAACCATGTCTTTATTATTTTGATTGAAAAAAGATTAGAGGAAAATATTCATACTTTGTGTACTGCTTATCTAGAACGACTCTTTAACTGATTGCTAGCTGAGATGATAGTAATCTACCTAACTTTAAATCAAGTTTCTTTCTTTTTTTTTTTTATCGTCTTAACGAATACATAATTAAGTTTCATTCTCAAGGATGATGATCGTCGAGCAACCTGATGTCCAGTACCTGCCTACCTTGTGTAAAAGGATTATTTTATTAAACTCGAACGTTCTTGTATAAACTGGAAACTAGTATTTACGTTTCGACAGCGCGTAGGCGAGGTGCAATTGGACACTGGATCGATGGCGAACACGAGAAATGCCATCCCTAAGCCGTGAACGGAAGTAATTAAACAACCCGAAGGTATAACTACAATCTTCGTTTACTTTTCTTCTTGTTCTTCTTTTTTTTTTTTAATTCTTTTACTTTTTTTCTTACTCTTTTCCATTGACGGCATCATTAGCCGATATTTCCGATAGATTCAGGAAATATTCGAGAAGATATTCAAAGAGTTCAACACCCTGACAATTTGATCCATTAATTTGTATTTATTTTCAAACTAGTCTTCGATTAATTGATCGTATAATTGTTAAGTGAAGAATAATTTCTGATGGAATAGAAATGATTACTTATTCATCAAGATTTATATGTTCGAGGTTATCACATGAAACACGTAACGTGATCAAATTCTATATTTTAATGGCTCTTGTCGGAAATTGTTATTTTTTTTTTTTTATTTTGATATAAAATTGTTCGTGAAAAAGTTTTAATGGGATTATTGTTTACTAGAATTTTATTTTATGCTTCAAAACATTTCAAAGTTTATTTTCACTTTTATTTCTAGATAAATATAAAATATTTATTAAGATGTTATTTGTTCAGTTTGTATTTGTTAAAAATTTGATAAACAATTTTTTGTATGGCTATAGTTTGTTCAGGGAATTTCATTTTTTTTTATTTTACTTTTGTATGAAATTGGTGATCGTTATATTCATCTCTCCTTACGTTACGTTTCAATGTAATAGATAGATTATTATTAGACTTTATTTTCATTTAAATATACGTATTGATTTAGTCTGTCATTCGATTATACAATACTGTTACACTTATTTTTCTGAATATTGAAAAAACATCTAATAATATCGAATGCTTCAACAATGTCAAAAGAAATGCGACAGTGAATCGTATGCTTGAATAATCAGGAACAAAATTGTTTGTTATTTATTTATTGTAAATGAAAGTATTTTATAGCTGATAGACAAGTATTATATTGAACATCGTTTCAATTAAAATAAGAAATAATTATTATATAATATTCCTTTGTTTCAAATTGATCTTAATATCTGAAATGAAAAAATATTTTGAAATATAATTACTAATTTTCACATTACATAAGTCTTGTATTTTTCATTTAAAAAATACCTATACATACATATGTCTGTTTACACATTACCGACTACTATGCATAAAACTTGTAACTTAACATATTACATTATTGATTAAATAAATAATTGAATTAAAATATGAAATATTCTAGCAAATTAGTATTATCTAAATTTGATTAAATTTTGTCAAATGCAATAAATAATATTACAATTACAATTTATATAATTATTTATAATTAAATTAAGTTGATTGGATATATCAACACGAGTAAATTCATGATCGGTCAATAGAGGATGAAACTTGGTTTTCGAATCTATTCAATCGTATTTGATTACGATCATAGATAATTATACGTCACAAATTAAACTAGATAATATAGTTCGTATTATTACATCCATATATATATATATATATATATATATATATATATATACATAGTTTAATAGTATTATATTATATAATCTGCTTATTATTATAACTAATTAGAATTTCTTGATATAAATTAATAATAACATTATCCTTGAAGACAGTTCATTTGATTATTATATTATTCATTGAATATTACACGTCATCAGTTTGCTCGGGTTATTCATTCAATTCTATTTTTCTATTCCATAAAAAAAAAAATATGTTAATAAACTTCATTGATATAAATTAAAAAATACTAAATTATAAAACCGACACTTTGAATCGGACTGTTAATAACAGCTGATTATAATTCATGAATCATCCTGTATAAAAGAAACTTTCTGATCGTGTAACCCTGACAAAACCATGATAAAATCCTGACCTTGTAAATTGAAACTGCGTATAAAATGTCAACGGAAGAATTATTTACTGTTTATAAGAAGAACTAATACAGTAGGACGGAACTTAATTAACTAACGTGATCAGGAAACAAACGATGCGGATAAATTGAGGTTCTACGGATAATTGAGACTGAAGTAAAATTATTTCAAATACGTTTTCTTTCTATTGACAATAAAATTCTCCTATAAATATGTATATTACGCATATGTTTTATAACATTTTTATTGCTTTATTACACTAATAATGAAAACATCATTTTATTGATTTTGAAAGTGGCTTAAGTTCAATCATACCCATCAAAAACATAATATTTATTAAATAATGTTAATTATGCTAATTTGGATAATAAATTTGACATCTTTAAAAACCAAAAAAACATTATTCTATTGTGTCATCTATTATTTATATTTTTAAATTTAATCCGATGTAAATCTTTCAAAATTTCGATTCGAATATAAATGGCTCACATATGCATATTTTTGTTTCAAATTTGCATATTTTACGAAATCAAATTTCATACACTTTGTGTATATTTAATGTTTAATAATAAAAAAAAATGTTGTCTTTTAATCAATGATTTAGAGTTTCGCGGTTATATAGGTACATGTATTAAAGTAATTGAATAAATGTAGTAATATCACTTACCTTATAAACGTCGAAATTTTCGATAATGGAGTCGAAACAGGTGTAGAGATCGTTCAACAAGTCGACTACTTGAAGTGGCGTACTCTCAGCCGATAGACTGGTGAAACCAACGATATCACTAAAGTAAATGGTTACTTGGTCGTACGTTTCAGCTATTACACTTTGTCCAAGTATTAGCTGAGATGCAACAGATCTGAAAGAGAAAATATATTATATAAAATATTAAATTCATTATCCTATGATTTTAAATAAAAAGAAACATTTGATTAATATTTTTTAAAATTATTTTTTTCAATATTTTATTTGTCAGTATTTTTAAATATTTGGTATCAGTACATATAAACATTTAAACAAAGTAGTGATAATAACAATAATTATTCGTCAGAATTCTTATTAGAATATTAATAATAACAATAACGTTAGGGGTTGGTTTAACATTACATCAGGATTATGTAAAGATTACAAGTTAATATAAGATTAGATTAATACTATTATTTTGTCATTAACATTGATGATTTATTTAATATACTAACAATTCTCTTTTTATTTTTATAATGTTATAATATACTTTATATTTTATAATTATATATATATATATAATAATTATTATAAATTATCATAATAATTTATATTTTTATAATGTATTAGTTACTTTTCATAATTAATCCTATCCATTTATAATTAACAAATGAGTAGATTAAATAGTTGATAATTTTTTTTCAACTAATTGACATTTTTCTGTGTAGGAAGAACTCCGCCCACTGATCATTCATTTAAAATTTTGATAAATTATTATTTTATTCATGTAATAAATTCTTGCGTGGTAGTTGTAGATAAAAACCGACGAAAAAAAATGGAAAAATAAAACTGGGTAATTTTATAATATAATATTTGTTCAGTCAAAAGTCTCTAACCAAAAGTTATGTTAATTTGAGTTAGAATTATTCTTCGTTAGAAATAATTCCTAATGAGAGAAATTTGGTTTTGGCAAGGTATGCTTTTTGTTAATGCTTTCTCTATGTAACAGGGTAGATAATGAACTTTACTCGATTTGTTTATGAAATTCTAGACAATTATAAACTACACGAGTAATTTGGAGTCAAAAGTGTAGTTAGTAACTTTTGACTGAGCATAGATGATATAGTATAACTAGATTGATATCTTCAATCAAAAATCTATGTTATCATTGCAGGACCTAAATAAACACAAATGAACTTTAGAATTGACTATTTTTCTAACAATTATTATATTTACAAATATTTTATATATAAGATTAATAGTTTTTATATCAATGAATACCAATATTGATTTTTCATATTACAAACTAATTGTAAACACTGTGTGTGTGCTATTTATTTAGAATACTGACAAATAATGTATCAAAATATGGATGGAATAAATAACAACCCTAACAAAAAGATACAAAGTGGAAGTTACGTATATCACTCGTCTCTACTAACAATCTGATTTAACAGAATAAAAGAAAAATAAATCCAAGTTTTTTTTCGTCACGTTTTATGCCGGCCGCTCGTTAAATCCCGTTAAAGTGTGTTAAAACTCACGTACTCACCTTACCAAGGCTCAAAATTGTATAGAAAAATTTGCCAGTAGGAGTAGGACAAATAAAATGCATTTTTTCATTTAATGGAAAGCTAGGAAATATATATGTAATTGTATTTTTATGCTTTAATAACGTTTATAAGTACGATCCACGTACTTTTATTAGAAAGAGTAATCGTTTTTAATACCTTTCTTGTGATATTTCCAAGAAAATGATAAATAACGTTCCTTTTTGTAAGAAATATACTGACGTAATAGAAAGACCAATTGATAAATGAAAAAGTATTATTGAGGTTTAATCCTTAACCTTTTCAAAGATGAGCCAATTGCCAAATAAAAGATTCTACGATCCGTTATAGAACATTAAAACCTTATTATATTCGTTTTGGCCCTATTCCATGGCCAAAAAAAAGAGACACATTTTTTTAAATAATATATCTATTTATGTTACAAGGAATGGGGCCGACTGCAGAATTGCAGCATTCACAATTTACATCGATATACAGCTATTTCTAAATATATTCTAACATTTAAGAATGAGTAACTCTTTTTGGTTTTATAATTTAATTATTTATAAAGCAATCCCTCTAGTTATTACTAAAAAATATATTTCTTTATTACTTGTTATAGTATTTCTACTTAAAATATAATAAAATAAAAATTAGTGGTAATAGTATCCCTAGTAGCACAAAATATTTAAAAATATTGAATACATATATATTTAATATTAAAAAAACATTGAATCTCTTTTACTACTAGGGATTATTTGTCACGTTCCTTATGATGTAAATGGTATTAAAAGATAAGTAAATTATGTTTCAGTAATATAGAAATCGAATTGTGAACAATGTAAAGAAGGTTGCTAAATAGAAACAAAGCAATGAGAGATACGTGACTCCAATAAATCCAAGTTGATTACTTACAATTAGTGTATTAAGAAAAAGTCGTAACTTAAAGTAGACTTACTTTGGCAGTAATTGATATAGAAGCTCCTCGCATTTACGTTTTTCTTCAAAGTAATCTGCAGTACGTTCCTCAACCAAGGCTTCTAAATTCGTTGCGTATTGTTCCATTCGAGACAACAAATTGTCCAGGATATTGCTACTCTCGTAATCTCTACAAAAAATATATAAATAAAAAATCACTTTTTAGTCAAATTTATTCCAAATAATTCAAAAATATTTGTATAGCTTTTTTTTTGAACATTTATTTTTTTTAAATATAACAAATGTTTGTTCATACATAATAAATTTTGTAAATAATAAATTCCTTAAAGTTTGTATTTAAATTTATGACTATAGCAATACTTTACTTTCACACTAACTTTATATGGTAATAATTCTTCGGATTAGATTGCATCAGAGCATTTATTCTGGTTACTGTATATTCCCTTTGCTTGTATTTCCTGACAATTGTCAACAATATTTAAAGTCCAAATATCTTGCGGGCTACATTCAGATAACTTTGTTTTATTCTCAAAATAATCTTTTATTTCTTGTGCAGTATGTATATTAATTCCACTTAAATTTATTATACAAATATATAAATGACTTTACATTAATTAAAATTTATATCAGTTTCATTTTTCTTAAGAAATATTTTATAAAAATAAATATACACATTGTAACATCAAAAACTTATCTCATATAGATCGTTTTAACTGTTTAGAAAAACAAACTTCCTTAAAGTTTTATCAAAGAATTTTTGTTTTCATCTTATTTAAATTCTTGGAATTGTAGCTTTAGATAAAAGGTAGATCTCTACAGAAAGTACTGCTATAGAAAGTAAATAATAGAAGCAGAAATGAAAAAAGAATAAAATGTTCAGCAAATATTCTTACTTCTTTCATGTCATATAGTTTTGTCATGGAATGTGAGTACAGTGAGTAACTTTAATATTCAGACAGAATAACATTTGTTTTTCCTGTTATATTAAAATTTTATTATAAAAGAAAAAAAAACGAAACGTAAACGATCAAATTAAAGCATTGCATCTTATAAAAAATAATAATTATAATAATATAATAATAAATTTAATTGTTCATGATGTTATCTGTTGCATTTTTTCAACATTTACATCACTTTTCGTGATCTAAAATGATTGATGTATCAATTTACTCGTAAAAATAATATAACACCAGAATGTAACGTGTAGATTTGTTCGCAAATCTTATAAAGAAAAGGAACATGTATGAAACTTGTCTACTAACATTAGAAACTTTATCCATTTACTTTAATATTACTATAGAAACTTTTTTGTATGATTTTTTAAAAAGCGATATTACTTTAACTTTTGTAAAATTGTGTAAAGTGTCGAATTTTCATAGCAAATTAAATAAATTTGTATTTTACTTTTGAACTTTGATTGCATATAATTTTGTTAGTTTGACTATGATTTAAGAAAACATTTAAAGAGCAGTAAAAGAGAATATATAAATATGAAATAATAGGTAAAATTTGATCTTTAATTAATTGTGATAGATCTTACAACGGAAGTTAACAATCGTCGTATTTTTATTTTATTAATTTTAAAAGATTTTATGCAAATTTCTATGAATCCAATTTACATTGATTTTTTGTTTTGTGATATTATATTAGGTCATTAAATATGAAATGTCTAATTTCGAGATGAAAATAATCCGAGTAATCACACATTTCATAGTTAATAACCTAATATGATAGAAACAAAAAAAATTAAATTATTTTATTTCTAATATTACAATTAGTATAATAATAAATATTTAAAAATGTACAATACTACTTTTAAATGGTACAAAAAATATATGATGTACTATAATCTATCCTAGCCATTAGTATTCTAAAGTTAATGAAGATATCACTGCGGAAAATGTGGCTTTTACAAAATTAGGGCAAAAACCAATTTTAGAAGAGTATCTCGAAAATCAATTGTTAATTATATTTTAAAAATAGAATCAAAATTCTTAGGAATTGCAGTCAATGATATAAAACTAATAGCTCACTAATTAGCTATTAGTAAATAGAATTGAGCATCTTTTTGAGAATTTTACAAAGAATTGATAGATCGTTTTCTTGTACATCATCGAAACAGTATTTCATTAAGAAAATCGACAGACACGTTTGTTGACCTAAGTCTTGACCTTATTCCAGAAAATGTAAATGCTTTTTTTGATATTGGGAATATACAGTACTGAAACATTTATTTTACTAGTCGAAAATATCTGAAATCAAATGTAACATTAAATGATTCGGTTTCACTAAATATCCAACAGGAATCAAATGACACAATGTGCATATATTGCAAAAAGTAATTTGTTGAAGATTGTAAAGGCAAATTTTTAATTTAGGGTATATTCTTGCAATTATGAATTCACGGAATAAGTTGAACATATTGCATATATGATTATTGTAAAATAAATTAATATTATTTTTCTCCCCTTTTATACTTTTGCAATAATAAAATATTTCTATTAATAATTTTATAATTTATTTAACATGACAGTAATTTTGTTTGAACTACCTGAATTTCTATTAATCCAGATTGAGCTTCGTTTAAAAGTCCAAAAATCAAAAAATTTCTAGGTCAACGATATTGATCCTTGCTTAATACATTTCGTATGAAATTCATTCGAATATGTCATTTATTATTACTTGGAGATTTTTATACTAAAAAAAAATAAAATGTACATCCCATATTCGTATCACTTTTTCTATAAAATTCAGGAGCTGGTTATATGAACATTTTTGTATTTTTTGAAATATTATTTACATAGAGTAAACGTTTACGTGGGAGAGAAAAGAGAGAATCGCGTATGTCGATTCAAATTTAAATGACGATTAACCCCATCTAAAACGGATGCAATGTAACTATATTGCACGTAATACACGTTTTGCTAGTTCACCTCTTTCAAAGAGACCATGCAATAATTATATTATCTAGAGAGAAATTGTATTGGGGCGTTTATCCATCAGGAGCGTATCTAACGATATACGAACCCGTTCGTGTATTCGACGAATCATCGTATATTCATGGATAGATGTACATATACATATATATATAGTACGTCTATCCCAAGGTCGAAAAGAGGATTTCGTTGAAATTTAATTAATCTAATCGTATTATCAATCTTTCTCACGCTAACGAAAGAGTACGTGTGACATGCTTTGATGTATCTAATAACCGAACTACAGAAAATATTAAACGATCTTCTTTCTTCCTTAGAAAATACGAATGCAATCGATAACGTGATATTAACCTGGAGAGTCATGAATAAAAGTCATAAAAGTTACGTCGAGTTAATCTAGGTACTTCGCTAACGACTCCAGGATTCCGTTAGAAGAAATGAATTCTCTTCGAGTTTTATCAAAGAGTTTTCTCTACTAAAGAAACAAGAGGGTAGAGCTTTTACGAGTTTTACGTGGAAGATGATGGTAAGAAGAAGTGGAAAAAAAAGATGTAAAATAGAAAAAGAAAAGATAAATGAAATAAATAGGAAAAGAATTAAAATGTAAATTTGAAAATCATTTGAGCACCTCTTATCCTTTTTTATTCGTTTGACAAGTTTCCATCTGAAACTCACAGTTTTTAATACTCCTACGCAGACTAATTCGAATTTTAAATCTTTAGTAATCTAACCTAACAAATTGTTATCTTTTATCAGAATTTCACACTGAAATAAGCTTTTTATTGTACAAGTTAAAGCGAGGAGGATGTTGTTCGATTGATTGTAAGAAAAGCCTATTTACCCTTTTTCCGATCCGTTCATTTTCGTCGATTTCCAAGACAATTTTTTCGAATTCTAAATGGGAGAGAAAAATTCAATTCCGCAGATCAACGAACGAAGAAAATTAAATTCTACGAAAAATCGTGAAAGGTGTATCATATACCGTGTTAAATAATCGTAACAAAACAATAGTTTATGTATTTTTCCTATTTTTTTTTAAGTTCAATTACTTAAAAAAAAATGGGATTATTTATTTTGTTATATTTTTAAAGTGTTAAATAATCGTAATATTTATATTTGTTTTTTAATTAATCTTTTTTATTTCATGTTTACTTACTTTTTATATTATAAACAATAAAATGTGAAATAATCGTAACACTTCTATATTTATCTGTTTACTTTTTTAATTTTCTTACGATTAAATTATTTCGAAAGGGTTGCAATTAATCCCTTTGTTTTCTTTTTTATGTTTCTAATGGCAAAATGTGAAATAATCATAACATTCATATTTCTTCTTTTTATCCTTTCCTTTTTCATTTTACTTTTATGTTCCTTAGGCACAGAAATAATCGTAACACTCATTTATTTCTTTCTTTCTTTCAATTAAATTACTCCGGAAGAGGAATCAAATGGTTTCTTTTTAGTTTCACATTTTTTAAAGTGTCAAATAATCATAAAAGAATTCTTTTCTTTTTCATTCGACAAAATTATATAAACAGAAATGAATGAAACTCTTTTTCTGATCAATCTTTTTTTACTATTTTTATTTTATTTATATTTTTATTCTTTATGCCCCCTATGTATAAACACTCATTTATTTATATTCGTTCTTTTATTTCGATAAAATTATTCCGAAAATGAAAAAGAACGAAATGAATTCTTTTTTTTTTCTTTTATATATTTTTATTTTTATTTCATTTCTTTTTATTAAAAGAGTAAAATAATATGATATTTTTTACATAGGACTCTTCTATCAACGGAATTTGATCGTTTCGTAAGTTCCGATGTGTGGTTTAATCTGCCGCTGACAATCGCAGATATCTCAAGTGCTTTTCAATATGCGTTTTACCACCCTCGTAAACGCCTTTACGTAGGCAACCATTCGTACATCCGCGTCAATCGTGCATTCGATAACTCTACCAATGCATAGGAGTAATAGGATATCAACGAAACGAAATTCACATTATCATCCCACACGCATTTAATGGTATTGGTGTTCCTTTATTTCTCTCTTTATTTCTATTTCCTTCTTTATCTTTGTTTTTTTTGTCTTTTTCTATCTTCCTTTTTCTCTGTTTATTTCGGAAATATTTTTACCCTTTTTCGAAAAAATCGCTTAACCTTTAAATAAATTTAAACACCTGCTTTTCATTACAGAACTCTTTTTACTTCTGTCAATTTTTCCTTCTTCTCTGCAGATCCTTTTTTAGTTCCCATCATTTTCTAAAATATTATTTTTTTAAAAACCCATACAATTTAACTTTTGACCTAACTAAACTATTCTAAAATCAACTTTAGAATTTTAAAAACCACTTCAGTTATTATTCATGAATTCAATAAAATAACAAAAACTTATACACATTTCAAATATTTCGAGAATTTATTTTATTTAAAAAAAAAAACTTATATTGCGTTTTGGTACCTCCCTAAACTCTGCTTGTAAAGTACTTCAAGACTGGAACAAATTCTTTCATGGATTATAAGAAGAAATCCACATCTCTCAGAAACATCCCTTCCAAGAGTCATAATGTTCCAAATAATCCCATCGAGCAACGTCGAAGACCCCGTATTCTCTCTCTTTCTTTCTCTGTCCTCTTTCCCCCCTATCTTTATCTCTGTCTTTCTCCCTTCTCCCTGATCCATTTCTTTCTCTTTTTCTTATTCTTTTTTCTACAGTTTACGGAAGTTTTTTTCTCACTTACACTTGACCACCCAAGCAAGGGCCACTCTTCCACGTTCAGGTATTGACCTACCAAGTTACTCGACCTGAACTCAACTGTGTGTGCACTCTTCGAATTCCTCGAGTCTTATACTCGAGGAAAAGCGTCTTTTGGGAGTGGTAGTAGCGTTCCTGGAAAGCCGAGAACTATGCCAATATTAGGGGTGAACGATTTCGAAAGAGCAAAGAGTAAGACAAAAATAGGAGAAAAAAGATAGGAGGGAAGATATTTCGCGTGAAGCTTTGAAAATAATCGGAGAATCGTTGAGAGAAAGAAAAAATAAAAACAGAAAAAGCATCCTTAATTTCATTAAAATTCGAACGAACGGAAAGACATTGTTTACGAGGCCAAGTAGATACACAACGATCCAACTAATTGGTAAAGTTATCCTTTCACGAACCACTCGAGTTATACTTAACATTTCAGTTTTATAATAAAGGGGAGTCTGATGATCGATTTGGTGAAAATTCTTCTTCTTCTTCTTCTCAAGGTTTATACGTCAACTCGTATAAACTAGCTGGTTAGAATTCTATGCTTCACGCTTAAATCGCACCTTTACGTACGTGACTTTTACAATATAAAGTTGTAACGCATTATTATTGTGAAGGAAGTTATTATTACGAAGGAAAGTTATTATTTGCGAATATAAAAGAAAAAATAAAGAAAATAAACGAGCAAAAAATGTTAAATATATTTTAAACAAATGACTTACTTGTTGATCTTGCGAATAGTCTGCTTTAGCGCGGGAAAATCAGGTCGATCGGCTGAATCCTGCGCCCAACATCGTCTCATTAGTGTAGCTACCTGTTAGATGAGGGATTAAAATTTATTTCAAAGCATGTTTCATGCGCTATTTACAAAGATATATACTTAAAAAAAAAAGATTATTTTAAAAGGGACTCACTTCTTCTTCAACAGCACTTTCGTCGATTACTGGTCTTAAAGGTGAACTACCTCCTTTCCTGACACCTTCTACGATTTCTAGAAAAGAAAAAGAAGGAATATAGTAGAAATGATTATATAGATTATTAATATATTATTATTGATCTATTGTTATATATCTATATAATATATATATAATATATATATAATATATATATAATATATATATATATATATATATATATATATAACAATAGATCAATAATAATATATTTTTATATAAGTAATTATATGAAATTAATATATAATTATTATATTATACTTAATATATAATTAATATATATATATATATATTATACAGAAATATATTATATCTATATTATATTAAATAATAAATAAATATAAATTAAATAATATTATATATATTATTTATTCTATACTAATATACTATTTATATTATATAAGAGTATATATAAATATAAAGTATTACATAATAAATATATAGTTATAAATAATAAATATATAATAGAGTTAGAGAGAGTTATTAGTTACAGTTGTAATTAGTATAATATAAATAATATATAATAATATATAATATACTGTAACTAATATAATAAATATATATATATATATTATACAGTAATATATATTGTGTGTGTGTGTGTATTATATTTATATAATATAAATTATATTAATTATAATATAATTTATATAACATTATTATATAAATTAATATATATAGAATAATATAGTAAAATATAAGTAGAAACAGGAAAGTATTATACATTAAGTATTCAGATATTAAAACTTTTGAATACTAAATTATTAAATACTGAAAATCTCCATTGTATTAATATAATTCTTCTTTTTTTATCGAACGAAGAATTCATTCATTTCTAACAAAAAGTAAATACTATAATATAATAGTATAAGTACTACATTATATTCAAAATAGAATTATGTACGCTTGAATACACGTAATACCAAGAGAATATCGATTTTAAGCCAAGCGTTATGCTAATTACCCGCGAGATACTGTAATTGACGTTTCGAATTGGCTGAGAGAGTACATCATTCCCTTTCTATCTTACTACGACTTACACTTAACAATTGATTGATTCTTATTAACAAGATTGTACTAATATGATACAGCGATTTTAATTGGAAGTAGATAGTGTAATGAATTACTCTTTGCGTAATCGAAATAACTTTCGTTAAAATTCAAGAGGATATATTTCTATTTATTTCATTAGAATTTTGTAAGATTTTATGCCACTTTTTTTGTCAAACAAATTATAAAATAACTCATAAATTCAATTTTTTTAAATATTGTTATAATTAAGGAATTTATTAATCTTTTATATGCATGGTCAAAATATTTGTATTAGGGGTAGGTTTGAATTAGACTTGTGTCAAGTCTATGTCATATATAACACAACACAATATAATACAAAACAATATTTATACACAAAATAATATTTTAAATATATATAAATACTAAAATAATATTTTTGTTTTGTGAAAGAAATACTAATCTCTTAAATATTATATATTTATATTTTATGATAAATTATATGTTAAAATTATTATTGAAATTATTTATATATTTATTTATTCCTAAAATAATATACAATAAATTTTAGTAATTTAATTTCTAATTGTAACCAAAAATTTCGTAGTTTATATTTATTTTATAATTATTTATTTAAAATATTGACTCAATAAGTAGCAATTAAAATAAAATTAATATCTCGAGATCGTACATAACATCAAATTTAATTTGAAAAAAAAAAATAGGCATATTTTGATACACGTATAATAAATTCTGAATATGTATATGTAAATCAATGGAAGAATTCAAGCAATCATTTTCATGAAATAATGTATGAAGATACTGATCTCCCATATCACGACAACCTCGGTTGAATGCGATACTTTTTGTATAAAGTCAGTGGGTAGACAAAACGTAAAGACTAATTACGTCATTCACATGGGAGTTACAGTATCGTTCAGTTCAGTCCAAAAAAAAAAGAATATACGAGGGTAATTATCCACAATGTAACAGTATTCTGTTGTAGAGTGGTTGTACTGTCAAGTGTTCGTGCATTAGTATTCGTGGTTTTACTCCTATTATTGTTGTACAGCTTTTAACACGCCAGCATGCTTACATTCTGTTAATTGTGACATTAACAATGGCCACTACGCTTTACATTTGCACGTAGAACAAGAAGAGCAAATAACTGTTACCAGTTTCTTGTTGTCTGTATCAGAGGTTAAAATGTACAGAAGACTTTTATAATATTATTGAGACAGTGACTGAAACTATTCATTTATAATCGTGATAAGAGGAAAATTATAAATATTAATGCGTTGATACTTGAGATGATTGTTAACATATAAAAAATATCTTAGTAAATAGCAAATAATTATGTAGGTCATTATGATAATAAACTGGAAGTCTACAAATAGGAAAAGATTAATTTTATGATTTATTTTATAATACAAATAATTATAATATAGGATAAATAATTAATTAAAATTTAGAAAAAAAAGGTTTATTTATTAAAATAAATTTTTATTAATACATTCGCGACAGCTGACGTGAATTCACGTCTTTTCAAGTTCTATTTCTAATTACCGCTGATGTAAAATTCACGTCATTTAAAAATTTTAAAAATTTAATATAAATAAATTTTTATAATATTCAAAAAATTATATTTTATTATATTATTATATTTTATTATTTTAATATAAATTTAAATAATTCATAATTTTTGCCGATACTCAGTATTAAAAAAGGAAAAAATATGCCGGTCGCGAATGTGTTAATTATTAATAAAATTATTATTTTTAATTTATTATATCTATCCTATATTATTTAATACATAAGATTATTATATATATAGGATATATTATTTAATATATATACTAATTTATTATAATTATTATTATTTTAATAATTATTATAATAGTATTATAATTTTATAATATTAATATAAATAATATAAATGATAAATATATAAATAAATAGTATTAATAATTTTTTATAATCTAAATAATTGTAATATAAAATAAATCATAACATCAATTGTTTTCATTTTTTAACTTGCAATTAGTCTGCCACTATAATGTCCAGCACATTTATGGATTCAACGTAGTAAAAGATATAACATTATTAGGTTTTGTAATTTTTATTATGCAATATATATAATTTTTTAAATAAATTATATGTTTTTTTATTGATATTATTAAATAATTTTATTGCTAAAGACAATAACCAAAATTATTTCTTTATAAACAACCGAAATATGAAGCCATAAATTTGATTATACGATAGTGTCCTAATATTTTTTAAAATTACTGTACATTCTTGAAAAATTTATGATCACATGAAAAGCATATATAGATGTATCTATGTTCGGGTTATTTAACTCGTAGGGAGGAATTTGTACTTCACGCCAAATTGCTTTAATAGATGTGGCTTTAGTCGAATTGCGAGGGTGTGCAAGGGTAAGAGCTGGGTGTCGTGCGTTGGACCATGAATATGGGCAGGACACATATGCACTTCCATGTAAAACAGTTAGGTATATAAATCATTTATGCATAGATATAATTACACCATATTGGCTTTGTTCTAAATCTCGCGATTAACGATTTGACTCGGCTCGTTTTCGTATATCAGGACTGCTCTTGTGCAGATTCTAAGTGCGAAGGTGTGCAATACGAAGATATTGCTTAAAGCTGATTGTGTCGTAAGATATAGTTCAAGAATAATTCGAAATTAAGCCCATGTTCGCAACCCCTCGACGTGCCAGCTACCTAGCGTTCATCTCCCCAGGTCACAGCACTCCATCACCTTATGAACTGCCACGTGGCAGGACCACTAAAATATTTGGAGTCCAGGTCGTGTACTTGAAAAGCGAGATGATCTGTGACGAGGGAAAGTTTATCCTTAAGTTAAATTATGGATCGAATTATACCTCGTGAAATTTACAAGTTTCCGAAATAATAAGTAAGGTATGAGAACTCTCAAGTGTGCGATAAAAGTGTAGATACCTCAAGGCGTATCTACGTTTCTGCTATTTTTCTTTTTTATCTTCAAACCACTAACTATTTATATAATTTCACGACTTTAATAATTAATTATTTCTTTCCTATTACTTTCTATAAATAATCTGTATTTAAATAATTACTGTTTGAGTAAAATCATTTTAGATCGAATAAAGTAAAGTTGAATATTCAGCAAAATATTAAATATAAATGTTAATAAATTAAAATATATTTATTATTAATATATTTATATATATAAATAAAATATAAATATTAATGCGTTGGTACTTGAGAATATTGTTAACATACAAAAAATATCTTAGTAAATAGCAGATAATTATG